CTCCGCAGACCTCCTAACCCCGCGTCGAGCCCCACTTTCTGCCCACCCGCTGACGCAGCACAGACTTCACCGGCGTCTCGGCGCCTTACGAAGCCCCCGCCAAGCCCGAGATCCACATCCGGACAGACGAAGTGGACGTCAAGGGTGCTGTGGCGATCATCGTCGAGTACCTCGAGAAGCAGGGTCTCATCCCGGCCTAGATGGGATCCATCGATCCCACGGATATCACAGATGTCACAGAGCTTAGATCAGACCAGATCATACACAGTTGCATGCATTGTTATAGCACCGGCATAGGCTCTCCACTTCCAGATTGGCCGCGTCAACTCTCCGACTCTTCGCTTTGCTCTCCAGTCCGGGACTCTAGCCGAGCCTGACGCAACTCCTGAGAACATCTAGAAATACTGACATAACAGCTCTGGTGTGATGACTGTGATGACTCTGCAAGTGTGTCCAGCTTGAGAGCATCGACGCAGCTCGAGCGCCAGTCAAGGCTCCATCCCGTGGCCCGGCGCGTGTTACGCACTCCTTTCCACGCTCAGTTCACACCCACACCACCGCCTGTCGCCCTGCCGCTGGTATATGTCCTGGGTCGTCAGTCCAGCAAACTTCCGCCTCGACTCACTTTCTCGACCCGGCCCAAGGCCTCGGGGCGGGGAACATTCCCTTCATGGGAAAGGTCCAGTTACCAACCACTGCGGGTGGTTCGGGCGTCTCATCCTCTGCGCCATTCTGTGCCTGCGGCTGGGCAAACCCATACCCATTCGACGCGGGCCTGCTTGTCTCCGGCGGACCGGGTGGTGCGGGAGGAAGAACCGGAGCAACCGAAGCGCGCTTGGCAGCTGGTGAAAGTCCTGGTGGGGGTGGAGGCGGCGGGAATGCTGTGGCTGTGCTCTGCGGTCTACCAGGCGTGGGGGATGGACTGGGCGGGACTGCTCGGGCCGAAGCGCCGCTCGAAGCGCGAGAACGGTTCGCAATGGCTCGCGCGGCGGGACTCATCCCTGTAGGCAGAGGAGGGGGCGCGTCGTCGTCGTCGTTGTCGTAGTCGTTGGCTGCTGGTGGCGGGGGGACGGCCCGCGGCGGAGCGGGAGGTGCCGGTGCAGGCGGTGGGGGAGGCATGGTGCGCGCCGGAGCTGCCGGAGCGGGACTTGAGCCAGACGAGAAGGAGCCGGAAGAAGGCCGCTGAGGCAGCGTGGGTGGGGCAGGTGGGGCGAGACTGTTTCGAGATGAAGATGGAGGGTGGGGAGGCACACTTCGGCCAGGAGCAGAAACCGACGGAGTGCGCGCGGGGAGGGACGGAGGTCCAGTGGGTCGCGGAGGCGGAGGAGGGGCGCGCTGGGTGTGAGCGACTGCCTTGAGCGGAAGACTTACAGGTGGCGCGCCTCCTGGCGGTGCGGGCGGAGGAGGAGGCACAGACCGCTGCGAGGCGAGGTCAGTGTTGAACGGATCTGATCTGAGAATGGGCCCCGGGCTTGGGGCTTCACTCACACCGCCGGCGGGGTGCCTGTTGGGCAGGACCGGTGCGCGACCTGGAAGGGGTGGAGGAGCCGGAGCCGACCGCGCCGGAGCAGAAGGAACTGGGGGCGGGGGTGGAGCCGGTGGGGCGCTTCTCGCAGGAGGTGTTGGTGCCGGTGGAGTCAATCTTCCAGGAGGTGGAGGGGGCATCCGCGGCGGGGCAGGTGGTGCCGCGGGAGACGGTCTGGATGCGATTGGCGGCGGTGGAGGTGCAGGGGGTGCGGGTGGCGCGCTAGAGAGGTTCAGCGAGGTTCAGAAAACAGATCCGATTCGAGAGGCGTCTATCGGACCACTCACACTCTTCCTGGAGGAGCAGGTGGACGAGGCGGACCTCTGGCAGGAGGACCGGGCGGCGGCGGCGGCGGCGGCGCTGGGGGTGCAGGCGTATACGCTGGTGGTGCGCGAGTGGGAGGTGCCGGCGAAGGAGGAGCGGGAGGCGGGGGTGGGGGCGGCGCTGGCGCAGGAGGCGCCGTCCTGCTCGGTGGTCCGGAAGGTGCTGGTGGCGGAGGCGGCGCAGGGGGACCTCTGCTTGGTGGTCCCGGTGGAGGTGGTGGTGCGGGGGCCCCTCTCGTGGGAGGAGCGGGGTGCGAGGGCGGAGCACGTTTGGGCGGGCCACCAGATGGTACGGGTGGTGGCGGTGGTGCCGAGGTGGGCTTGGATGGGGCCTTGGGCAATCCCGGTACAGCAGGTGCTTTAGCTAGTGTAGATGCGCCGGCTATAGGAGTCGAGTCAGGATGATGTGCAGCTAGCATTGAAGAGAACGAGCTTGGACTCACGCGCACCGGTCTTCTTGAGTGTCGGCATACCGCCGGCAAAGAGCCCTGCGAGCTGTTGCGCAGGTCCATCGGAGCCCGACACGGGAGCGGCGGAAGCACCGCCTCGTCCACCAGTGCTCGCACCACCACCACCCATGCCCCCACCACCGCCGCCGCCGCCGCCTCCAGACGGCTTGCCATCTACGGCCGGGGCCGAGCGATCATTGGTAGCCGCCTTCTTGAGCGCCTTACCACCTGTCTGATCAGCACGGGTGCGGAGGGATGAGCGGAAGATCAAGCAACATAACGTACCTTGGATCTGGGAGAGGAGGGCGGCGTTCATGCTGTGCCAAGGGCTCGGGCGAGCAAGCCGCGGTGAGATCTCTGAGGGAGGAGCGGGTGGGTGACTCCCTGATTGTGTCGTATACCTTGTCGCTGATGCTGAGTCTGAGCTGAACCAAGGGAGACGTTGAGCGGGGGGAAAGAAGATGAGAGAGAGAGAGAGGGAGACAATAAGGTCTGCGATGTCGTCTCGTCATTGCCGTTGCCGTCGCCGGGAACACCGCTTCCACTCCGCCGCGGAATCAAAAATGGGTTGGAGCTTATTTGATCCCGCTGCGCCCCCGCTGTTACCCGAAGCAGCGGCAGCGCAGCCACAGCCCACATGAACTTGCTCACTCTGTCTCTCTCCCTCTCCCTCTCATCGCCTTTGATACTCTCAACACCGTCTCATCTCATACGCCCGCATCGTCACCACAGCCAGCTCCCGATCTCGTAACTCACCACCCACCACACCACTCGGTGACTCACCGACAACATGAACTTCTCCCCTTGTACGTCTGCGTCACCGCCCTTTCCCCACGTCGTTACACGTGATTGACCGATCCCCCCTTGCTCAGCCCGATGCCGGCCACAGCTCACTCCACACAGATCAGCCCCCGCCAGACGTCCCCGCCGAAGACCCTCCTTCGGAGTCGTCGCGATCACTCCTCGGTGGGCGATCGAAGGGGAAGCAAAAGCGGCCGTGGTTCACCCGGTGAGTGCAGAGTTCAGGATGGGAGTGGGGGTGGAGGCAGCTCGCAGCGACGCAGTGATGGTGTTGTTGTTTCATGTGCAGTATGGGTTCACATGGGAATCAGGGACGAAGAGGGGAAGGAGGGATGTGCAGAGGTGTAGACGGTGTGGGGCTTTGTGGGATCTTCGGTTGAGACGATCTGATTATCAGTGAAGCGGTGAACTCGGACCGTGGAACGATTTCGTTATCGAGTCATCACTCGTGACAACGCTCACGCTTTCACCGCAGCGACGCCTCGTCCTACTCCAACTCGTACCAAGCCGGCGGGAACCTCGCCGACCCAACATCCGTCCCGCAGGCGTATAGCAACGATCCCGAGTCGGCTGCGTTTGTCGGGGGTGGTGGCTCGGCTGGCCAGGCCAACGGCAACGGTGACGAACGGGCGAACGCCTGGGAGAGCAGGTTCGGGTGGAGGGTTGACTTGATGGCTGCGGCGGCGTACCTCGGGGGGCCTGTGACCGGTGGGTGGAGTAAACTTGGATCATATTCTATCCTGTCCACCCATGGTACTGCGGTGGCCGCGGACTGGCTCATGCTCCTGCACCTTGTCACCCCGATGACTTTTCGCTGACTCTGTCACAGCGCTATTCTTCCTCATCCTGGAGACGCAGAATGACTATGTCCGGTTCCACGGTCCGTCCGACTCTCACTTGCTTCCATGACCGGCACCTACTGACTCTCGTGACAGCCTACCAATCCGCCCTGCTGACCACCCCGCTCCTCGCCTTCCTCCTCCTCACGAACCTCCTCATCCCGCTCCCATCCTTCCTCCGCACGATCCTCATCCTCGCCTCGGTCGGCGCGACGCTGTATGCGGCGTTCAGGGCGTGGAAGGACGCGCAGGAAGGACTGGGGAGGTTCTGGTTGCCGTATATCGGGGAGATCGCGGAGAGGTGGGTGGGAGAGGAGTGAGCGAGTGAGCGAGGGAGTGAGGGGCGGGGAACGGGGCTGCGGATGGGGGAAGAGAGAGACAGGCAGGAAGAGATGAGACAGGGTGAGATGAGCAGACCGGTTTGTACTTGGTGACACGGGGTGGGACTCACAGGGAGGATGCATGGCATGGACAGTAGCGTGCGGACATGCGCGACGAGAGACCTCAGACTATCACCAGGCGTCGGCGCGAACTCGTCCTACCGCTGTGTCACTGGGTTTCGAATACCTTTGGGCCGCTTAGCTCGCTGCAAAGCACCAAGCTGAGTTGACTCGATCGCCCGGGGACGATCAGAGACGCCGCGACACGTTGAGCAGGCGAGGTTCAGCGCAGCCCAGGCTCAGGAGCGGCGAAATGATCTCCTGGTTTCCCACTGGATGGGGCACGCCGATGCGTCGCTACATGGGGGGAAAGACTCCGCGCCATGTAAGGAAGCGAGTGCTTTACAGTCTACACCCTGCGAGGATCGCGGGATAAGAATTGTTGAGCTGCAGATCGTCGGTGTCGCGTTGAAGAGCCACACCAAACTTGTCACCTTGTGACGCCACTTCGATCGCGATCTTCGGCTTTGTATCACACTGCGCCGTTTGGCACGCTGGAATGCAACCGGCAGCGAGCTGGATCGAACATCTGGAGACCACGGGCGCGAGCGTGCGACTCGTCAGAACGGTTGACATCCCAACGCACACATTCATAAGTGACAAAAAGCGATTGTTTTCAAGCGGCCCTCTTAGTTTAGTGGTAGAACGCAAGACTACGAGTTGGTCTCACGCCAGCGTTTCGTTATCTTGAGGTCGTGGTTTCGAGCACCACAGAGGGTTGACTTTTTGGCGTACGTGGCGAGGTGGGCCAATGACACACCAGGTGGGCTGTCACTCGGTTTTTTTTTTTTGGTTTCCCACGGTGTCATCCCTTCCAGCCCAGAATCAACCTCCACCCAGCTGGGCAACATATTTCGGTGCCAGTCTACTCTCTGCTCTTGTATCATCGACGACACAATGCCAACGCTCGGCCCGTCGCTCCTCTTCGCCGCCGGCCTGGTGCTCGGGGTGGGTACGGGCGCGCTCATCCCCCGTCCCTCGAAGGAGGGCAAGCAGGTGCAATCGCCTGTGCAGCTCCCGCCTGCTCCGCCCAGTGGGGAACGACGTGAGGTCGGTCCGATCCGGACGCCCGCGGGTGGTGTGTTCCTCCAGGGTGGTTTTCCAGGTGAGCGATGATCCCAGGCAGACATGGAAGTGGGGCATGAATGGTATGGAATGGGACTAACGCGCACGCGGGTCCCACGCCGGATATCATCACCCGTAAGGCATATACTGCGGCGTACGACCGCCGACTCCGTCATCCAGCATGGGTAAGTTGCGTCGTTGTCGTCCCCCTGCTCGGATCGTCCCCCCACAGGACGGATCCTGGTCGAGCTCGACGCCTTTCTGACCGTGCAGACCGCCGAGCACCTCACCGCCGCGTCCCTCTCGCGTACACCACCACCGTCCGCACCAGGGGCGACGCCCGTACCCCTCGAGTCGGCCCGTAAAGCCGATACAGACCCGCTCCCACCGGTCGCGCGCGGAGACCGGAGCAGGAGCGTGTTCATGGAGGACGAAGGGATTCCGGAGATGTTCCGCGCGAAGCTGCAGGACTGTGAGTGGCCCGAGCAACACCACACTTTGATCAACCGACCTTCAAGCAGCGCACGATGTCGATCACCCAACGTTCGACCTTCGAGCTGACGATCTCAAGACTTCAGGAGCGGCTATGACCGGGGACACATGTGTGTTGAGATTTGACCAGCACATTGGTAGTAAACTGCAGGCTGAGCCTCGTCCCAGGGTGCCCGCGGCGGACGCAAAGATCTCGCAGCAAGCGATGGACGAGACTTTCTACCTCACCAACATCGCCCCGCAGGTCGGCGACGGATTCAACCGGCATTGTGAGTGAGCGAATGGGAGTAGCACTGATGCATTCTCAGATTGGGCTTACCTGGAGGACTTCTGCCGACGGTTGACCTCCAATTTTGAGGATGTCTATGTCTTCACGTGAGTGGTGCTGGTTCTTGTGTTCGTGCGGTGGTGCGGACGTCGATTGCATTTGTCGGTGCAAGCGATGAGGATTGAGGGGCTGCATGGGGCGGGGTCTGGTTTGCGTTGGTGTCTTGAGCTAGTGCGTTGCGACACTGCAGGACGACAAGGCGCGCAGCGCTCGTCGGTGAAATCGTGCGGAGTGTGGTCTGCTCGTGGCTGGCGACTCAATGGCGTCGCGGCGTTGCACCATCGATTGTCGCTGTCATTTCCGCCAGTGCTGATCCCGCAGCGTACCACTGTACATGCCCAAACGCGACGCCGACGGCAAATACCGCGTGACATACGAGGTCATCGGCACTCCACCGTCCGTCTCCGTCCCCACTCACTTCGCCAAGGTTGTCCTGGCAACTCGACCGGACTTTTCATACCCCCAAACTCCCTCTCCGCAGGACAAGGCCGTCACGTCCCGCCAAACCGTCAAGGAGCTGGCGATGGGCGCGTTCGTGCTACCCAACAAGGAGATCCCGGACGAGACGGATCTCCGGACGTTCATCTCCCCCGGTAAGTCGGACTTGAGTCTGGGTCCTGAGTTGGGTCCAATGGGTCCGGTGGATACCAGTTCGACGGGACTGACGGACGTAGTGGAGGTTGTAGAACGAGTGGCCGGACTCCAGCTGTTCAATGAAGACCTCAAGGGAAAGTCAAGGCAGCTCTGCGCGGTCACCCAATGCCAGATCATCGTCCGGAGGTTTGACGACGCGAAGAAGGAGATCCCGGCGCAGGCGAGGAAAAACGGTGGGCAGAAGTAGAGAGGTGAAGCAGTGGTGCTCGCCCATGCTAGAGACACATTCTAGATAACAGAGCCGCGCGTCATCTCGACTCGGTCGTTCATACAAGTACAAGCTACACTGCATGCATGCATCACTGTAACACATCGGGCTGTTCGGTGTCGTAATGGTGTTGTCGCCCGGTGGCTTGGCGGTAATTGCCAAGCGCAATTTACCGACCCGACCAACCAACCATCCCAGTTCATGTCCAACTCAATCCTCACCCTTCCTCATCTCTTTATCCACCATCATCTTTCACTCGACGCACCATGCCACCCCTCCTCTACGCCCTCCCGACCACCTCTCTCACCCCATTCTCGACACTCCTCCTCGACCCTTCTTCATCCCACACCACCGCCCTCGCCGAGGCGACCTCGGCGAGGACAAAGCTCCAGCTGGCTCTGAAATCGTGTGCGGCCGAAGAGCCCGGTGCGAGCGCTCTTGCCGTGGTAGATGTGAGCGCATGGCGTATAAGCTGAATCTTTGCGGAGTGCCGAGTGCGGAGCTGAGTATCAGGCTGTGCAAGGTTACTTGCCTTATCTGCGGGGTATCATAGCTTGTCTCGATGCGGACGAGCTGCTCCTGAAAGGTGATCCCAGTGAGTCGGATCGATCCTTACTCGTCCAAGTTGGAGAAGTTGGGTCTTGGGGATCAGTCTCACTTCACATGCTCACTCTGTCAGTCTTCAGCTGGCGTTCCTCACTCACCCAGTCCTCGTCATCCCCCCTACTGCCCCTCCCCAGCTTTCACGCCGAACACCTCTTCGTCCTCGTCACCTACACCCTTGCGCTCTCGAACTATGCCCACTCGATCCTCGCCTCCCTTCCGACCTTTGAGCCTTCTGCCGGATCGTCCTCGGTACCACACATGACCTCGGACGACGAGAAGCGGACGACTGCAGGACTCGCGAGGGCGGTGGACCTGCTGTGTCAGGCTGCGGGCATCGCGCAATGGGCAGCGGAAAATGTGTGTCCGGGACTAGATGGGATTCGGAGCGCTACAGGGAGAGTGGGGAAGCATCGTTGGCCTATCGAGACTAGTGGGGAATCATTACGGGGTGTATCCATGTGAGCGGGTTGCTTCGCACGACAAGTCGTCGTGCTCGTCGACAGGAGTTTACATTGCTTACGCTTACGACGTAGGACTCTGATGGCCGACGCGCACCTCACTGCTCTACGGAAGCTCCTCCTCCCGGTGTTGCCCCATGTCCTCTTCGCACCGCCTGGCCCGCCCTTGCCTGCTTCTCACCCCTCGCCGTCCCTCCTAGCCAAGCTCTACCTCCACGTCTCATCCCTCTACAACTCCGCCCTGACTCTCCTGCAAGTCCAGAACGAGGCCCCTCGCAAACTCTGGAAAGAGAGGAACGAACCCGACGCGGTCGAGGGCGAGGTCATCTCCCAGCTGAAGCGGTATCTCCGCAAAGAGTCGCTGTTGGCCAGTGCGCTCGCACACAAGTGGCTGGGCGTCGATGCGGGGGAGAACGGGAAGGGCGCGAGAGTAGGCGAGGCCGTGGCGTGGGTGAAGGAGGCGCAGGGGAGGTTGGAAGAGTTGGAAGATGGTAAAGTCAGGGAGAAGATGAAGGGGCTTGCCCTCGGTCGGGGCAACGAGAGAAAGAAGGAGGAGAGAAAGGCTAGAAAGGGAAGAATAGAGAGGGAGCTGGAAGATACGGCGGCTTGGGTGAGGGCATACACCAGGATGAACGATACGGTGAGTCTGAGCCGGGTTCGCCGACTCGTCGGTTCGGGTCGACGCAAGGACTGACGAGGCTGCGTCGGATACTATAGGTCGCCTTCCAGCCTGTGCCGCAGGTATCGTCCCTTACAATGCCGTCGGGACGATCCATCTTCGCTGCAAAGCCGTTCAAGCCGCCGCCCAGCAGATTTGGGCCAGTCCCAGAAGAAGCTGTTCTCGACCACCCGGACGAATCGTACGCCGGCAAGGGTAACTACTACTAGGACCTCCACGTTCCTGGACGCAAAGAGAGCAGGCTCGCTGTTCGGCTTGTCGATTTGTCAACCTCTCGAGTCTCTTCACATATGCATACGCATCGTCATCGCGCCGGATCCCGGATCACAGGTGCCAGTCTAGGCGAAACGGACTTCGCATACGCCATTCTGCGCCTCGGCGGCCACGAGGTTCTGCGAGTCCAGCCCCAGCCCACCTCCCAGCACGACGACATCGAAAGCGGTCTTGGTGCCTTTCGCACTGATCTTGATACCGCTGACGGTGCTGCTGGACGCATCTTTGAGAGGCTCCAACACGATGTCGATGGTCTTCCCGCCCCGGAGCGCAGTACTGATGGTGGTGCGCTCGGTGATCTGCCGGCTGACCATGACGGTGAATCCCCGCTTGGCGATTGAGTCTGTGACGCGATGGCCTTCTCTGCCCATGATGACGGCATGACCTGGCCGGAGCAACACCGGGAGAGTCATCATACTATGACTCTCTTTCTTCCATCCTGAACCCTCCGTCTCCTGACCGGTGAGGATATTCGTCCACGTCCCAGATGGGAGGTAGTATTCCACCTCGCTCTCGCCAAACACGGGGGCAACGAGGAGACTACCTCCCAGCATGTATTGCTGGTCGAGATACCACATCGACCTGTCCTCGGGAAACTCGAGGAACATTGCGCGCATGAGCGGATGGCCCAGCGCGACGGCACCGGACAGAGAGAGGGAGGTGAGGTATGGCTCCAGCCGGTTCTTGAGCTTTGTGAATTTGGACAGGACAAGGCAGGCTTCGTCGTCTATCGACCAGGGGACTCGGGCCGTGGCCGAACCGTGTAGCCGAGAGTGGGATGAAAGCAGGCCGAACTGGCACCACCGTTTGCTACGAGACCCTTGTAAGCGACGCACACAAGGACACGAGGAGGAGGATGAGCTGGGGAGAGACTTGCTATACCGATCCCTCGGGCGGAGCAGTTGAGTTACCCCCGTGCTTTCCTTCTCCCTTGAATCCGCCGATATCCGAGCTGTG